AGCAGGCTAACAAATCCAATTGCTAAATGGGACACTAAGGGTACACAAACAGCGTTGCTGCATCCTTTCTCTCCTATAGTGATAGCTGCTGATGAGAATGAACGTATCAGGTATGCTAAGCTCATCAATGCCATTATTAGTTAAGTGGAGACTGTTAGGCTTTAGACAAAGAGTATGGTGGAGCTTTTGTGTGTAGAAAATTTTAGGACAATTAATTTACAGGCCTGAAGGCCGACTGTGGAAAATTGGTAAGAGTCATAAATATTTACATCTTGTTCAACTTCAGGATTGTTAGAACTCAGGAAGATTGAATGGCATTTATCAGATATGGAGACTTAGGAAATTAAACATAATTTTTAGACGGTAGGAATTCTGTGTTTTGACTAGTTAGAATTATTTTTCTGCTCTTGATGAATTTCGTTGCTTTTAGACTTTGTATTGCTTCATTTTGATTTTTGTTGTTGGCTAATGTTCATTCGGTTTTCCACAGGATATGGAACCACGAAGAGGCAACACTTCTCAACAGTTTTGACAATCATGATTTTCCTGACAAAGGAATTTCTAAGCTCTGCCTAGTGAATGAGCTTGATGATAGCTTGCTTCTTGCTGCTTCATGTAATTTTCTCTACCGTTTATTATTATGCCTTCTATTCTCAAATTATTGTCAGAATATTAAATTTTTGGGAATCTTATGATGCAGCTGATGGAAACATTCGAATTTGGAAAGATTATACTCTGAAGGGTAAACAGAAGCTAGTCACTGCATTCTCTTCAATTCATGGTCATAAACCTGGTGTGAGGAGTCTGAATGCAGTTGTTGATTGGCAACAGCAATGTGGTTATCTGGTATATGATTCTTTGATTCTATATGGCATTTTGGGATATCCTTCTCTGAAACCTCTAAATCTTCCCCCATATTGTGATGTTAATGATTTTTTTTTTCCATGTTGTTTCTTGTTACATTAATACATTTGCCAGTATGCATCGGGTGAGATATCTTCTATTATGCTATGGGATCTTGATAAAGAGCAGCTTGTTAATCCTATACCTTCATCATCAGACTGCAGTATCTCAGCTTTGGTAAGCCTCATCTATGCGTGTAGTTTGACTTGGTAACTATTATGTTTGCTCAAATTATTTTGGCTTGGAGCTAAGACGAGGTTATACTTAAAAAAATGGACGAAGTTTGATTCTGGAGACATTTGGCTTAAAATTTTTTATTAGGTTCTACATGCCAAAAGGGGGGGAACTCATGACCTTTCATGGTTCGAATCCAGGAAATAGTCTCTTTGCAATTTTGCAAGGGTAAGGCTGCGTACAAGAATTACCTCCACTCCACACTCGCTAGTTGGGTTTAACGGAGAGTGGTTTTAGGTTCTACATGCCAGTTACATTAAGAGGTCTTAACGAATGAATTCATTAGTTTTTGTCTTCTTTTTTTTGGTAATAATGACCCGATATCTGTACTGTTACTTAGAAAAATCTTTTTTTCCTCGTAATTTTTTTTTTTTACTTGAGTTCCTTCAATTACCTGGTTGTGTTTGAACTTGAAGACTTAAACCACCATATTTGATTTACCTTTTCTAAAATTCAATTAATTTGCCTATCTCTGTTGGTGTAGTTTGCCCTTGCCATTTCTGGGTATTATGAGTGAATGTTACCTTTTCATACTGACCTTCAATTCCTCTTTAACTGTCTGAAAGATTGAGGAGTGGGTTTGATGATATGGTTTATGATTTTCTTCAAAGAACTAAGAAACTTTGATCTCATTGCGGTATGCTCTCAGATAATTTATATTTTTCATTTTCTAATTGTTTAAATCCTTGGAAGGGGCTAAGGAAGATATCTGAGCCGAATGCTCATACAACTCTTGGGTTGCACGGTTGTGCACTATTATATCTTTGAACAGTTAATCTGCTTTCGTTGTTATTTTATTCAAAGTGTAACCAGATGATGCATATATACATACGAATTTCTATAAACAAATTTGTTCCTTTGATTTATGTTAGTATATCTCGTGTTTCAGGCTGCATCTCAAGTTCATGGGGGACAATTTGCAGCTGGTTTTATAGATGGTTCTGTCAGAGTTTATGATGTTAGAACACCTGAAATGTAAGCACCTCAGATGAATTATGGTTATTGGTTCTTCTTAGTTGATGAAATTGAATTGAGCAACATTTTTATTTGTCAGCTCCTATAAGATATTACGCTTTTGTCTTCGTTACCTGCATGTATCTAAATATAAATTCTGACTTGAACTATCTTCTTTAAACTAGTATCTTAAATTTTATCTGAAGTATAAACCTTTTTTAAGGTTAAATTAGAAGCTTTTCTCTCAAGCTTCAATATCTCTGTAATGACTAATGACAATGATGCTTCTTAGGCTTGTCTGTGGATTACGACCACACACACAGAGAGTAGAAAAAGTTGTGGGGATTGGCTTTCAACCTGGATTAGACCCAGGAAAGGTAATAAGAGCATCTTGCTAGTGTCAGTAATTTTTTTCAATGACCTGTACGTACATGTCTGTAGATCCTGGTAGGCATTCAGTGACTATGATCTATGAATTTGATTTGAAATGAATGATGAAATTATGTCACGTTTTCTGTCAGATTGTTAGTGCTTCTCAGGCTGGGGATATCCAATTTCTTGATATAAGAAATCACAGCAGCCCCTATCTCACTATTGAAGCTCACAGGGGCTCACTCACCGCACTAGCTGTACATAGACACGCTCCAATTATTGCCAGTGGTTCAGCCAAACAACTCATTAAAGTTTTTAGCCTGGAGGGTGATCAACTAGGCACCATTCGTTACTATCCTACCCTAATGGCCCAGAAAATTGGTTCCGTAAGCTGCCTCAGTTTCCACCCATACGAAGTATTACTTGCTGCTGGTGCTGCAGATGCTTGTGTCAGTATCTATGCTGATGACAACACCCAAGCAAGATGAATCCATATTTTTCTCTTTGATGATTTCATCGGTTGTCTCCTGCTCTGAAGACTGCATCAAACATCGCTCAGGTGTGCCTCGCATATTTCTTGCAGTTGGATAATCCTGTGGTGATGCTTTAATCCCTCTCCGCTGTGAATACATCTGAAAATATTGGTAGGGGTACATTCCGCTGATAGTGTATGCAAGATATTCATTAGCCTCCATGGTAGAGGGTTGCACTAAACAGGTAGAGAATCGTGCATATTGTTTGGAGGCTTCGGCAAATAATGTCATCTTTCGTAAATGTGTGTAAATATTATTTTATCCATAATTATTTTTCATTCCCGTTTTGCGTGTTGTTATTTTCCACCCTTTCTTGATTTGTAAATTTTTTAGCCGAATACATAAGCTAGTTTGCTGATAGATGTGGGGTGATAGACTCCTATAAAATGGGGCTCGTTCACCCCGTGATTGTAATGTCTGTTGAATTGGCGGACCCTTGTTTTAACCAACATGTAATTAAATTCAAGTTTGTGTATGTGTGCTATTTCTTCTTTGTCTCTAGGGTGGACAATTTATCAAGCTGAAGACACGGTGTAGTTTCTTTTGTAGCACAGGATGTCTTGTTTCCAACATACATGTTGTCTAAGGCCACAACTGAATAATTTAAATTCAAATATTGCTTTTGGTGCGCAGACCTTTCTGAATGGAGGTGGTAAGCGTGAAATTTTCACGTTATACGATCACGTTATGGCTTGTTTATTTTCTCCAAAAGTTGGTACAAGTAGAAAATTTTCCATTTGGAAAAATTGCCTTGAGTCGTGGGATTTTACTGTTTGCGAGGAAATTAATCCAATATAAACAGGCCATAAAGAGGTACAGTTATCCTGCATAGGACATTTTGTGGGGTTTTGTGCAGGAATGAGTCCTCCGAGGCTTGCTTAACTGTTCTGGCACGTTATGTGAAAATCAAATTTGGAAATGTTTTTTTAAAGCCAAAGCTCTGTAAGATATTAATTATAAATGATTTTGATTACAAAATCACTAATATTCAAAGTCCAAACACTAAAATATTTAGCCAAATTAACGTAGTAGAGACTTGTAAAAGGAATTTGACATAAGGGTTCCCTTCAATCAAGTTAGTTGATGTTTATGGGTGTCTTGAGAATCCAAAATTAAGTCAACAACTCCCTTAACATTGCGAAAGTCAAAAGTTTAACAAGTTTCTGGATTCTGGAAGTTATTCCTGCTGTCCTCATCATCATTATGTAAGTGTAAGTACGTTGGTTCATGATAAGTAACATTCTTTGTCTACGTTGCACCGACATTTTAAAATATCTGAAGTGTTACATCCGACACTTTCTAATATCCGGATACTTTCCGTCAGAAATATCCGGATAACGCTCCGATATCTATAATATTTGAAATTTCCTTAAATATTATAAAAAAATTAATCGATATTTTATCAAACTGATATAATAAAAATTAAAAATAGATACTGAATAAATCATACTAGAATGTATAAGAGATTTTCAATTTAAAAATATAATATTAAATATTTACATCTTATGTTTTTTTGTAAAATTAATGGATATTGTAAAGTTTAGTTTTAACTTTTTTTGAAAACGTCCTAACGTATCAAAATATAACATTTTTTAAAATTAACGTATGAAGTATGTATCATGTTTCGTGTCAGTGCAACACAATCCCTTGCTATATGAAAATATTTATAAAAAAAAAGGTTCAACATGCGTAAAACAACAAAATGATACAATAGCTAGGATCAGATTTGATGCAACTTAGCCGATAGAATGAATCTAAATTTGTCTGTTAATTTCAGAGAACCATTATAAAAGAAAAATATATTTCAAGTTTGAATTATACCTGTTCTTCAAAATTCAGTATCCGACGTGCCAATCTATGTATGGATTTGTTTGTATTATAGACATGTAACGTTTATAAGGTCAAACCCTACGTTGAACTTGTAACACATTCTACTCTAAACATGATTTCACATGCCATTTGTCATGGTTAAAGACCAATGAACTTGAAAATGAGAAGCACTACCAGAAACTAAAATCTTATATCAAAGAATGTTCCACGTCTGTCGTCTGAGGTAAGACTCAAAACAAATGACTTTATGATCTACACATATGTAGGATATCAATCTAAAGAACTAACATAAGCTGCAAATGTGAAGAAGCCAACAGTATGTGATATACAGCATTGATATCAACCTCACAATTTTTACATAAAAACATAAATAAAATCTCACTTATGCCCCCCTACCATACCAGGTCCCATTGTCCCTCCTGACAAGCTGGATGATGTGCCACTGCTTGTCATCTTTACCCTTCCATCTGTGCTTCCAAAAACATTCAAATCTTCAAATAACCTGTAAGATGGAACAAAGGGCTTTTGTCCAGTTCCACTGGCAGGTGGAGTCCTCAGTCCAGAATTCCCCCTAGGATCTCCTCCACTAATACCAGATGAAGGGAATGAATAATTATGTTGCAATGGCCGAACCCCGAGTGTCGTGCTGGCTTGAGGGGTTGAAATCATATTTGTAGCAGATAATTGGTTTTGATAGTTGGGATATCCGGGTGTAGCAGCCCATGGCGGAGGAGGATATCTTGCTGGGTATTGGAGATGTTGATTCTGAAATTGAGGCTGTGGTTGAGATTGCTGAATGTGTTGGTGTTGGGGCTGAGACAGTAACTGAGGTTGAGGTTGAGGTTGTGGCTGAGGCCGTAAATGCGGTTGGGGTTGGGGCTGAGGTTGCAAATGTGATTGGGGTTGTGGCTGAGACTGCAAATGTGGTTGAGCTTGTGGCTGGGGCTGATACTGTAATGGTCGGGGTTCATAATGTTGTTGCAATTGTTGTTGAGGAGGACTATATTGAAGATGTTGACTCTGCAACTGTGACTGAGGTTGTCGTTGCAATGCATGTGGGGATTGTGGTAAGGGTTCTGATTGAGGCTGAGGCTGAGGCTGAGTCTGTAACTGTTGGGTTTGTTGATGATGCTGTGCTTGATCATATTCATAGTGTGTATGTAATTGCTGAGGTGAGGGTGGGGTTGGAGGTTGGGATTGGGATTGAGGTTGAGGTTGAGGTTGAGGTTGGGATTGATACATCTGTTGTTGAGACTGGGTTTGAAATTCTGACTGAGATTGAGGTTGAGCCCAAGGGACAACATAACTGTTGAATGACAAATTTCCAGGATACGTTTGGGGAGCATAAGAATACCCTTCTGTTCCTGATTGAACAGGTATCTGATGCATGCCTTGGCTAGAAGCTGATGGCGCATAATTTGTCTGTGGAGAAGATGGTGCCAGGGACAAAGTGAGACTCAGTAAGTCAATAAGGTCCTGATCTTTTGCAGGACTAACTGTTGTAGGTGGGTCAGGAAGAGCTAATGCATTGGATGGGACAGAGGTTGAGGGCTCTGGCACATGTGGAGTTGGGCTGCTAGGGTTCATTGACCCTGAATTTTCACTGGATCCAGTTGTAGCATCTTTTGAAGTCACTGACTGTGTCTTAGAATGCCTGCATTAGTAGTAAAAAGTTCACACTAAATTAAAAATTCATTAAGAAATTCACTGACACAATTGAACAATTTCATTACCCCCCCCCCCCCCCCCAACCTGCAATACATGTTGCATATACAAATTTACAGAAATTCTCAACAACATCAACATCAACAACACCTTTATCCCAAATTAATTGGGGTCGGTGGTAGACAGAAATTCTATGATGATTAAAAAAAAAAAAGATAAAGATAAAAACTTACACTAATAACACAGTTTTGCTTGCCAAGCCAAATAGGATAGAATGGAATAACTAGGAGTTTAAATGTAAAATGAACAGAAATGCTTTATGCAATGATTCCTGTTTCAACTCAATGAAACCAAGAGTAGATAATTCACTTGGCCATGCAAATCCATACATCTATAGACCTAAATGCATGCGGAAGACATTCTAAACAGTTGTATTTTTGGATAAGTTACACTTCCTATTTTCATATGAATGGAAAAGAAAATTGTATTTCCATAACCACGAGCAATGAAATATCAATTTAAAATATATTATCAGTTCTAAGTGACCTTCGAGCGAGCTGTGCAAATTCATCTTCTTCCTCTTCATCACTCTGGTCCCTTGTTTCAGAAAACACTAGGGCTGAAGGGCTAGCTTTAGGTGTTGAAACAGAATCTCCTGGGCTGGAACTCTTAACTTCAGTTGTTAGAGTGCTGGAACTTGCACCTTGAATTGGAAGGGGAGTACCAGAAGCAATTGCATCATGCCTTGCGAGCAAACTTTGAATACTATCATTTAATTCAAGGCCTTGCCCAAGAAGCTCCTCATCCCTACAACATAACCAAGATGATAACAAGGATTATTCCACATATCCTGTGGACACAAAGACTTCATAAAGCAATGCACAAGTATATTTGGGTGAGTGCCACATGATATAGCCAGTTGAGTGGAACTAACCCAGTTGTTGTTAGCATCTGCATCAATTTTTTCTGGTTGGTGCGACAGCGATCAACAAGATCAACAATTACTTCATCTTTTACAGCCTACAAAGCATAAAAAGTAAACACTTAATCATTTTATTTAGTTCCAATGAGGATTCAAGAAGGCCAAGCAACACTGTTTAACATACCTCGCGGTCACTAGGATTCACAGCCAGTAGCATGTCACTCAAAAGGTCCAAAACATGCCGCATGGAATCCAAGCTTGACAAACTAAGAATTTCAATAAAAAAATTAGCCAGCAGACAAAGTTGAGCACACAGAAATTCAGGAACACAGGACAGCAGCAGAAGCAAGGATGATACAAATCAGAGTTTCACCTTAAACTTTCTATCTCTGTTGCCATTGTTTCGTCAAGTGTTTTTGACGAATTGCTTGGCATCCCGTATCCAGCTTGCATGTTTCTTAAAGTTGGATGGGTAGGAGGTGGAGTAAAAATTGGAACTGCATTTGATGACCGCTTCGGAAAACCTACTCCAGATCGCTGCCATTTATAAAATCCAAATGATGATATGTTCTAAAGATCATTTAATTATTATTCCAATGCAACAAAGGGGATGAGGATTCGGGTTTTGAAGGGGACAATTCCCCACACTGAGGTTTTGAAGGAAAAAGTTAACCTTAAAATTCACCCAATTTAATTATTTGTCCCTAGAGAATTGCAAAACCAACAAATTAGATTTTTAAGCATTTAATTATTTTGAGGTGTCAAATTCAGTTACAAAATACAATTTATAAAAACACATAATAAGAAAATGTGTCTTGAAATTTGTAAAAGTTAAATGTCACCATTAAAATGGAACAAAGGTGCTATTATTTCACAGAATATCCACAAATGTCAAGTGAATATCAATTTTCGCAAACTAGCTTCCACTTTCCACGAGCAACTATCAAGGAAAAAATGGATAAAACCAATCAAAAAATTTATAGAGTAGACAGCTGTATACTCACCCTTAATTCCTCATATGCCCAATAGTACTGAGGATGTTTTCCACCTGGACCCCCAAATGCCTCTTGCCACGAGTCCAGCAATACTAAAATTTTATCCCTCACTTGCATGTCTGCCTAAATTATCATCACATGTATTTCAAGTTAGACGAGACAAATCACTAAGGAAAACAAAGAAAAATTATAATTAGCTCAAAATAGTGGTTGAATAGATATAGAGCACCACTATATCCAAAGTTCATCAATACTAAGCTTGCTTTGATGGACTAAACACCATACATACTTAGGGTAATTAATAAATACTAAGGGCATCAACTCAACATTATGACATTTTATTTTGACTGGGAAATACCACCCATAAATATTCAGATAACTTTGAACCCATGAGGTCTAAGGTTGGAGGTGACTAGCTTTAAAATATACAAATATAATGAAAACAGGTTAAATCTAGGATCACGGACTAAGGGAAACCTCCACTGAACTCTACAACACACGGATCATTAATGATGTATAGCAGTAGCCCACGGAGCTTGATTCAGATATAAATTGAATCAGGCAGAAGGTGCAGTTGAAACAACAACATCATCAGATGCCATAACAAAGTAAATTAAATCACAGATATTTGCATTGAACTTTGATATCAGCTACCTTGATAGGGAAATTTTCCAAAATAGTCCCTCATAGGTCAGTTCAGAAGAGAGAAACAAAAAAAATTATTTCCATAGTCTAAAATAATTGCAAGTACTTATCATACAATCAATAATGTCTCTTAAGAACATCATCTTCTGAATAAATATATTTTTTACTATTTCTTTTGAGTTTTAACTTTTAAATTTATCAATATGAAGATTATAGATAATAGACAGAGCCAAAGAATAAACACTTTGGTTTAGAGTTTGTGAACAGAAAAGGTGGATTGATGGATGAGAAGATTTGACAGCTGTATCAAACTGCAGGCTTGATTAATTATTTCAAAAACTGTGCTAACTGATCAATTTTACTAACACAAATCTTGCACAAAACGGTCAAGCCCAAACATAGATTATCCCTCTATACAACAAAACAGATGTTTGGTCCTAATGATCTGAGCTAGTTTATAACAACAAATTTCAATGAAGAATGCAATAACAATTTGTTTCAAGCATCAAATAATGCAAATTAAATCAGAACGCGTCTGAATGAAGCTTCAAACTAACACCACCTTACCTTCTTCCTTACGATTTTGATCATCTCCTCCAATATGTTCCTCTCAGCAATTTGAAAGTGCACAAAATCACCACAGTTCTTCACCATTGTCTCTAGAAGCTAGGGAGTAGAAGATAAGCAGAAACCATAAGACAAGTTCCAAATAAAAATGAATTTGAAATTTAAGTATGGCAGGACACAGCCACAAACAACTTGAGGCGAATATGTAAAGGTTAGTCTGAAGACCAGTGCCAACAAAAGTACCGTGAGAGCTAGTAATTGAACTTTAGAGCTTTTATGTTGTAATCTCTTCTTCACAGCTTTCACCACATCTTTTGGCTGCCTGAGAAATTAAGCATATGGCACTCATCAAAGATTCAGTAAAATAAACTATAAATTTCCCAAAGACTAATTTATTGAAGGGGAAAAAAAAAAGATTAGGGAAAGGAGAAAGAAGCAAGTTGACAAACTAGTTTATACTATCATCCAGTAACTTTCAGTTTTTCCTAAGAGAAAATTGAGACTAAATATTATTGTTACATATAGAGACCAACAATTTTGCATGAGAAAAAAATAAAAGCAATCAGAATTTAAAAAAAAAAAATCATATAATTAGCAGAAAAGAACAACCAGCTTCCACTATTTTCCATATAATCCTCAACTGATTCTTCACAAGAACATGAACAAATCCCCAACAACCCCCTCCCCCCAAAATCAAAATAAAAAAATAAAAATAAAATAGAAACTTTTGACCCCAAATTTCATCTCATAATAAAAGCCATAAACATCTGCATGAAACTTCATATTTAAAAGAAGAAACATCATAAGCATGTGACAGATGATCAAAGTCAAACCCTTCAAAAAAAAAAAAAAGGTCTCGAAATTGATATGCTAGCTTTCTCGTATTCTTATCGTTGAAGATTCATTACCAATGATTAGAATTGATGGAATCACAAATTTCGATGTTCATGGTCCAATCAGGACCCAAAAGAAGATCGCTGGTCGCCTTCTCCACTGCGACAGTAGCTGAAGAAGAAGAAGCAGCCATGATATATTCCCCTTCTCTCTCTCTCTCTCTCTCTCTGAACTTTCTAGGAGCAGCAAAACCAATTCTCGATCAACGACCCAAAACACAAAAGCAAACAAAGAACCAAACTTTGAAGGAATTATCAGAAACAAACCACCTCGGTGATTGTTCGGAAGAGTGAAAGATTACGAAACCCTAGCGAAATTCATCAAAGGGAACAATCGAAAAATAATAATAATAATAATAATAATCCGAAAAGTCGTCGCTTGTTTTCTCAAATAGGCAAGTTCTTCCTTTTTCTCTCAGCTAAAAAGGGGTTCTCACAAGTTTTCCTTTTTTCCATTATTTTCTCGCGGAAAAAGTATTTCCCGGAAAGTTCGTAATTTTCCTTCCTTGCTTGCAATCTTTGTGGGTGTTATTCCACGCACTAGATACCCAGGCACCACGTGGCAGTTCATCCTGTAAAGCAAATTTTTTTTTTTTTAATCACTCAATTATGAACATGTATCATGGTGAGATCACCCATGAATTTTTTTTATGTATTATTTTAAAAAAAAATCTAAATCAGAAATTGAATTGATGAGAATTTTAAGCTGTGATCTAATAGATTTGATTACCAAAGATATAATTTAATTAGTTTGATTTACAATTTATTTATAGTTATAACACATAATATTTGTAATACAAATATAATTAATTAAGGATCGAATGAATAAACTCACTTAGATTAATTATATTTTAAAGCATTACTTTTAATATAAAGAGACAATAATCATTTGAATCAGTCGTCAATGATAAATTTTGTGAATCCATTTAATATTTTGATATTTAATATAGTTATTAATTTCTCTTTAATTATATTTTTAGAAAGTAATTTAATATTAAAATGATATTTGCTTTACAATATAGTGGACTAAATTAATTTCTGCAATTTTTAAAAAACTAATTTATTACCCAAGATATTCTTAAACGAATAATTTAAATATTTATTTGTAAAATGTTTGAACGGCATAAAAAGTGTCTTTAGTATGATCTTGTCGTTATCTTTCTTTTGTAAATCATATTATGTATTATTGTAAGTTATGTTAACATACCCTGTATTCAGAATGGAGACATCTTATTTTACTTTTTTTTTATGTGGAAAGGAAACAAATTATTCCAATGATGGTAGCTTTATGTACAACGAGAAAGTTGCACTATTATTCTCTATTGAATTTTTTATTAAATTAAAATAGAATATGGCATCTTAGATTTTTTTTTTTTTTTGGATAACATTGCATCTTAGATTTTAGGATGCTGGTGTATGTAACAAAAGAAATAGTCTGACAAAAGGTTGCTTGAAATTTGAAATATGTAAAAGGTTAACTTTATAAACTTAGGGAATTAAAAAGGAAATGTTTTCACTCACTTTTGAATTCATTAAGATTTTCAGCATGTAGAAACTCAAGAAATAATTCTTAAACATCAGTTTTTTTTAAAAGAAAAATGAGTAGATATTCTTCATTGATTAATAGCATTATATGAGAAAGTTGTAAAGTGAAAATGACACACTCAAAGCAAACCAAAAAGAGAGGTTGGAGGAAGCTCATCAAATTACCACCACTACCATTCTCCTCTATGAATAATCTAGAAAAGCCACCTAAGAATTAATATTAATCCCATAAATAATACTAATAGTAATAACATTATTACGTGCTTTCTAAAAATCTCTGTAGTGTGAAACAATTAGAAAAGAAATGTGCCTCTAGGATCATAGAGTATTGCTCAAGTAAACCTCAAAGTTAGTGTAAATTTTGTTTTCTTCCTTTTGTCTCTACAAATTTTCCTGCTCTGATATTATAAATAAAAAAATTATTTCATTTAATAAAAAATAAATCAGATTGGTTAGATTTCAAAAAGAAAAGTTGAAGGGAAAAAAATAATCAGAAATCATAGTTTATTATTCATTATTTTCCAAAATTTATATCAGTGTCTTATAAAAGCTGAATTTCACATACAAATTCACAGAAACTATAAAACTCATAAAACTCTGTAACTATGATGACTTGATCATTAAAAATAGTTAGAAGAAGAAGAAGCGAGAATCTGTGCTCTTAAGGGGAGTTGAAATTTCACATTACTTAGTTGTATGATAAATGATAGGGTTTTGCATCTATCATTTAACATGACCACAACAACTTTCCTACACACACAATATGGGACCTGCAATTTTTGAAACCAAAAAAAAAAAAAAAAAAAACTCTGGCACGCAAAACGAATCTCTATAACATAACACAATCACTTTTCCTACAATATAATTCTTATAAAACCCTAAATGATATATGCCACAAAGAGAAAAAGATTGTGGATTCCAATTATATTTTTCTCTTTCATTTCACAATGTTTTTTCTCTCCGTGACAAATATTGTTTATCTGCTTTAAAAGCAAAAATATATTTCCTTATTATTAATAGAAAAAAAATATAAAAATTTCATGCGACCAAATTAAATAAAATTTTAAGGGATAAGATATTATAACAATCAATTAGTGTTACTATCAATGTTATTACGAGTCAATTTCACCGTTAGATCGATTATGTTGATTTAACAGTTATATTTATTTTCATCTTTGTATGATTATGATTTTCATCTCTGTATGATTATGATTTCCATATTTAACGTGAAAACATTAAATATGAGAAATTATAACCATACAAATGTGGAAATAAATATAAAGTATTAAATATGGAGAATCATAACTATACAAAGATGAAAATAAATAAAACCGTTAAATCAACATAATGGATCTAACAGTGAAATTGATTGGTAGTAACATTAATAGTAACACTAATTGATTGTTACAATATACTTCCCCAAATTTTAATATAAAAAGATCCATTCTCTTAGTCATAAATTCCCCACGAATAGAGAGCTATATACGACCATTGAAAGCGAAACGACAAAAAAAAAAAACAAATGTTATTAGAGGTATAGCGGCGGCTAAGTGTGGAGTCTGTTTTATATGCAATTCCACGAGTGAGTCAAGAGTTTCAATGGAACATTATTTTCTTCATCAATTTACCAATAAATCGCCAACTTTGAACATTGACGAGCTACAACTTTTGGCCTTTTAGGTTCTCTTTGCGGCCACGCGCAACTGGCCAATGCATTATTCTTTTTTTTTTTTTTTTTTGTAGTCATTTATTCCATCGGCCAAAGAACAAAACACGTTGTAGTTTCATAAAGGTTGATAAAATAAAATAAAATCCTAATCGTGATTGTAATGGAAAGAAAAATGTGTACTCGGTGATTATAACGCTTGGTTATTTTACATTTATTATGAAGTTATAATTACAAGTGTACTGTTTCAAATCATTGTATTATAAGACATTCATATGATGCGTATAATTTAAAATAAATAAATAAATAAAACTATTCAAGACCCATATTACGAAAAGTATCATGCTTTATTATATATGGAAGCATATAATATCAAGTGTTAACAATTGTTTTTTCTTTCTCGTACAATAATAGAATCGAAGGATTTGGAACTTTTACTGGCCGAAAAAACCTAGGATGAAACTCAAAGTATAGGATCCAAACAAAGTTTGATTTGCAAGTTGTTCACTTAATGCCACAAAGAATATCCCATTGTGCTCATTGTTTTGTCAGCTGTGTGAAACACACCCTAAAGAACTTAATTATATGAGAAGAAATTGACCCAAGCTATATAGCTATTACTTTGATGTTCACATTCACATTATTGTTGACTAATTAATTAACTTAATTATTAATATACTTTCTTGTTGTTGATGATTATATAAAAACATTACATATTCGATTTCTTATCACATTATTAAAGCATTAATTAATAAATCAAATTCAAAATCTTATAGATGATAGAGCACGAGGGGAGCGGAATGTTTTCTTTCCTTCTTATTTGATTTCTTAATTGTCGTTATTCTTTCTCTTGTTAATTATTCATTAGAAGTTGTCAATTTAATTCCATTTTTTAATGTGGCAGTTTTCTTTAAGAATAACGGGTTGGTGGTCAAGTTTCTTAATGGTTATCCTTTAATTATTGGGTGGGACAAAGTTTTGTTCATTCTTTACACGTATCAAACATTGGTTCTGATGATAATCTGACCAATAAATAAAATAATAAAAAGGATAATGTATACCACATCCTGACAACAAACATATATTAGTATTGAATTAGATTTTTCAGTCATGAAACATGGTAGCCACACATTTATAGTTTGGATTTTGAAATCATTGACCACTAACTTGAGCACTAAAATTTTGGATAGTCCTCACCACTAATATATATGTCACTTGATGCTTAATATCCTAAATAAATCTTTGATATTACTGTTACACTAAAGATTTAGTGCATTCTATTAATAAAAGTATTACATGTTAGTTAAAGTTTTTTTTTCTCTGTCAAATCTTTTTTCTCTCCAATGATATATAATGCTCCCATTAATAAAATGCATTGAATCTTGATGCAACAATAGCACCAAAAATTTATTCATCACAAAAACAATTAAACAGCTTGAGCACATGCACCCACAATGTTTCTAAATGCATAGTATATAATTATACATGCACACTCGGGTGTCTTACACTGATATGCATACTCAGCAATTTTACCTTGTAAAAGGTTCGACATTAATCGGGAATTTTATGCATTCACCCAATCCTATTAAAGAAAATAAAAATTTCATTCTTTAAAGTAAAATAATTTATATCATTATTATCGAAAATTAATTTTCTCTTTTTCTCTTTTTAAATTTTCTAATATTATACAATTAATTATTTTAAATATAAATATTCATCAAGTATAATATTCATATTAGTTATTAATTACTTATTTTTGAATTTAAATTTTTAATTTTTCACTGAGACTGTTTTCAAATTTTAAATAAGATTGCCAATTATACCTCTAAATTAATTAATAAGCAGTCCATTTTTGTATTAGCAAGAAGTTTAACAGATATCGGGGGAAATGGACACAAAATCGTCATAGAAAAAGAGGATTGTGTTATTGGAGGGAGGGGAAATGTTGATGGTGCCACTGGCTATCATCTCTTATCAACTTCAAAAATCATTTTACTAATAGTTTTGGAACATCTGATTAGATATATATGGGCTTTATTATTGAACTGTCCGGCAAGTCAAGTCCATTAATTTATAGGAGGACAAATACTCTCAATACACATATGATTCTTCCCTCACTCCATGTATACATAACCCTTACACATGATAAGTCATGCACTTGCACATGTTAGAAAGAGAGATATATTATTGGAGGGGGGATGTTGATGATGTCGGTGACTATCATCTTTTATTAACTTCTAAAAGCATTTTACAAATTATTTTGGA